GCCCAAGCAATAAATTTGCAAGCACACTCTCGATTTTACTTGGATCGTTAGTTTTAATATTATCATTATGAATTTGCTTTCTAATTTCATAATTGGGATAAGACACTTCAATGTATTTTTCTAAACAATTAATTGTCTGCAAAAAATGACTATGAATGGTTGTTTTTTCATAAGTAGTCATTTGTTTTCTGAACATATTTTTACTATATAAAAGTTTTATTATAATTTTATTTTTTTTTAGGCTTTAAAAAACGTAATGACAGGCTTCAGGCCAAACTTCTCATTTTTTAGTTTACCATACCAGTCGGTTTCCCATCCCCCTTTGACTGGAGAAAGAACTTTCTTACCCATTCTTTGTCCTAGATAAAAGCGATCATAAACAATCTCGAAAGCGATGCTAGCTTTTTTGACCAAGATATAAGTCCATTGGTTTAACTCTTTTAGACTGGTCAGGGCGGGAAATTTATGGGCATGTAATCTCACAAAAGAATTATATTCTCTTTCCAGATAGCCAGTCATTTTGGTAAAATCCTCCTCTTGTTGAGTTTTAGTTTTGTTCTCGATTCTTCTTTTAGCACGTTTTCGCAAGGAAGCGACCCAGTCAATTTTCTTATTGCCCTTGTATTTTAATTCAAAGCCTTCTCTTAAAAAGCGAAGATTGCCTCTAATTTCCTTAATGGTTTCATTAAATTTTTCTTGCTTGGGCAGATTAGAAAAAATATTTTTTGGTTGGTATTTTTCGATTATACTTTCCAAAAATTTGGTTTCAAAAAGAGGATCGTCTTCATTTCCTTTTTTATCGGCTAAATTTATTCGCTGGGCGTTTTTCTCCAAAACTCTTGCTATTTTCTTTTTTTCTCAACTTTTTCCTCACCATTGATAAAGTGCTTCCAATAACTCATCTTTGGCTTGAGAGACAGAAATATTGGTCGGTAATTTTTCTAAAGGGATTGAATAAGTAGAAAGACCTGTTTCTGGGTCTACTCAAATTTTTTTTCGATGTACTTTTATCTCAGGAGGAAGTTCTTCCGGATTTATATCTTCATCTTCCTGGTCAGCCGAGTCAGTCTTATTAGAATTTTTTAACTTTTTCCAAAGAAAAATCCCACCAACCGCCACTATAATAAGGATTACTAGGCCAAGACCAATATAAATGTATTTATTTTTGGTTTTTTTGGTGTTAATCATTATTGTTTATTTTTTTTGTCTTTCGGAGGTTGGAGGGACTGGACTGGTCGGCGTTCAGCAATAAGTTCTTTTTCAGAATTCTGTTTTTTTTTTTTTTTTGCTTTTTGACTAAAAATCAACTGGCTAGGCCCCCAATTAGAAATACTATTGTTCCCCCACCAATTATCAAGAGTGAAGTAGTAGCACCAAAACCTTTATTTGTAGTTTGAGACTGGTTAGAACGAATCTGGGCAAATTTTTTATTAATTTCAGCAACACTAGTTCTGATTTTGTTGGCTAGTTCCTTTTCTTCTTCAGTTTCATTTTGTTGTAATTCATTACTTTTTTCTATCCACTTTTGCTTTTGGACTTTTCAAACTTTCTCCAAAGTAGATAAATTTTCTTTGGTGGTAATGGATTTGATGGTTTTTGTTTGTTCCTCTAGTTGGCAAAGAGCACAATTCCCCTCGGAATTTTGGCAAGTAGTTTTATTGTGCTTATCACAAAACCCATGATTATTGCTAATGATTAATGATTTAAAAAGAGATAAGTTAGAAGACTCTAGATTTTCTTTTTCTTGGGTTAATTCTTCAATTTCTTTTTTTAATTTATCTTCAGCACTTTCTTCTTCTGGCTCATCCTTTTTCGAATCTTCCACTAGTTCATTTACTTTGTCTTCATCGATAATAATTTTGGTTTCTTCCTCTCCTCTTTCTAAAGCCAGAGACCATTGAGTAAAAGCCCAACGAATGAGGTCCTTAATTTTTCTTTCTAACTGGCGAACCCCATCCTCCTCAATTTTGCCAATTAAAGTGCGGAGAGCCTCATCAGTTATTTCAAAAAGGTCTTTGTTTTTATTCTGATAACTTTCTGAGAAGACTGTTCCAATCTTCATTTTACCAATTTGAAATTTTTGCTCTTTGGTGTAGGAGGGTAATCTAATAATTTCCAAGCGATTTTTCAGTGGCTCAGGGACTTTGCTTAGGTCATTGGCGGTCAAGACAAAAGTGAAAAAACTGATGTCGATTTCTATCCCTAAATAACGGTCCTTGAAATTCCGGTTTTGCTCGGGGTCTAGGACGTGCAAAAGTGCGTTTTCGATACTGCCACCAAAGAATGAACCAGTTTTGTCAACCTCATCCAGCAAAACTACCGGATCCCGACTTTCAGTGTCAGCAATAGCTTTAATAATTTCGCCCACTCCTTCGCCTACTAAGCTTGTTTTCCCTCCGTTGATAATGGATGCATCGCTGGCTCCTCCTAAATTGATTTTAAAAAATTTTCGCCCGATGGCCTCCGCGAATTTACGGGAAAAGTGAGTTTTGCCGGTCCCCGGCGAACCCACAAAACACAAAATTTTTCCAGCTTCGGGGTCTTTGATGCCTTTCGCTTTGAAATATTTTTGAAGTAGCAAAATAGACTTTGCTTCCTCTTTTTGTTTTTCAAAACCGTAAACTTCACTAAATACTTGATCCATTTTATCACCGCTTATTTCCTCCGCAAAACCTTGAGAATAACCTTTTATTATTTTTTTAACTAATTCTAATTTTTCCCTTTTGAATCTTTCTTGATTGGACTCATCACTACTAGGAGAACGAGTGCCGACCTCTGTTTCCAGTTCTTTTTTCTCTTTCTCTAAGCGAACTAAAGTTTCTTGATAGCTCATTTTTTAATTTTTTCTAGTAATAAATGTCAGAGAGAGAGAGAGAGAGAGAGAGATGATTTATCTCTTTCTATCATCAACTCAATTTCTGCCCCTTAATTAAATTATATGTTTTTTGTTTTATAGAGTTTCTTTTCCCCCCTCCGCTGATAAAAATACAAGATAGAATATAAAATAACGGTCCCGATCACGGCTATTAACGCTATTATAATCAACCCTCAGACTCAATCCGGCAGGCGACTATCAGAACTAGGATTTTGGTTATCAACTGTCGGTTTTTGTTCCTCATTGCTATCTTGTAGTTTCGTTTGTTGGTATCTTTGTTTTTCCTGACGGATTTCAGTTAATAATTGGTCGATAGTTTTTTTATATTTCTGGTAGATTTGACCCTTTTCCTCGCTTTCTGAGGTAGTTTGAAAAGTCTTTAACTGGTTTTCTAGTTCGGTTAACCCTTTCTCATCATTATCGTCTTTTATCGTTTCGGGAATTAGTTTTACCAGAGCAGTTTGCAAGAAAACTTTATTCTCGGTCGAAAAATTTTCTTGGTCAAGTCGAAAAGAAACCTGTTTTCTCTGTCTCAAACTTCTAATAACTTTTTTAGTTTTGCCGCCTTGCTTATATAATTCACTGTCTTTAATTCGGTTATATGCTGCTCATAATTCACTTTCATTTTTGGCCTCTTGGAGAGTTTTTACTATTTCCTCTCGCGACTGGTTCACTTTTTGGAGGTGTGCAAGAGCTGTCTCTGCTTGCTGATTATGACTATTAACGGCTTGTCAAACTTTATTTTTAATGGTTCCATTTTCTGCCTCTTGATAACCTTGTAAAAGAGTTAACAAGGACGCATCTACATCATTTTTGGCTTCTGCCTCTCGCACCTTTATTAATAGTTTTTCAGCTGCTTGGAGAGCCGCTGCAGAATCTAAAACCTCATTATCAAAAATGGCTTGAGCCACCGTATCATTGGCATACTTAGTTTTTAATTGAGTTCGGCTTTCTGCCAAAAGAATTTGCGGGTCTTTTCTCTTAATCATTGCTAACTCAGTAATTATTCGGTCCACTCACTGGTTATCAACTTGGTTGACAATCGCGTAAGCAGATTTTTTATCTCCGCTGCCGTTTCGGTATTCTTCTTTTAATTTTGTAGCCGAAGCCATTTTATCTAAATTTTTAAACTCGGCAATAAATTTTTCGGCTTTAACCAATGATTTAATTAGTTCTTTAATTTCAGTGAGGAGAGATAATGTTCCAATCTGGCTCCGATAAGTGGTAAAAATCCTTTTTCTTTCTGGACTTAAACTGCCGGATCCATAATCCTCATTCGTCGCCGCATCAATATCGGCTTGGAAAAGTACTTTCATTTGGTTGGCAATTTCAGACTTTTTAGCATCGATTTCCGAGGAATATTTTTTTTTAATTTCTCTTTCGGGTCATGATGACAGATTTTCGCAAGCTTTCAGAGCATTGAGAGCCGTATCGCAATTTTCTCGGTTTTCATTTACAAAACTCCGGTCTAACACTCAAAATAAGTTAGCCAATGCTTGGTAAAAAGTTTTGGAATATTCATTTTTACTAAAGTTTTCGTGCCATCACTCAAAGTTGATATCTAAAACTTGCTTTTTGGTTTTTCCTATTAAATCGCTAGTTTGAAAGATAATTTTCACGAACTCACCAAAAGTCGGAGAGCCTAATTTTCTATGAGACTTTATTTCATAATAAGCACGGGTAAATTCTTCGTTTTTTTTAATTTCTCACTGGTTATCTTTTTTATTTTGGACATCGGCCTGATGGTTAACGCTAACAAATTTTCCGTCAGACAACTGCTTAATGTCACCAGGACGAAAACCGCGAAAATATTTCGGGTCGGACTGGCTTAAGTCATTAGTGAAGAAATCGCGAAACATGTCAATATTATCTTTGGTGTAGCGGTTTCTGTCTACTACATTCAAAGAACTATTGAAACTAAAACTGTTTGTTTCTACAACTTTATACTTTTCTGGGCTGGCAATAGAAAATCCTTTATATTTCCCTTCTTTAATTTCATTTTTTAAACTCGAATTAGCAATAATATCAAATCCATTTTCTTGGGCTATATTGACCTCATTCGGAGTTTTTATGCCTACTGTTTTCCATTGGTTTAAATCTTGAATTTCTTTCAAATATTTCTCACAAATGTCTTTTACTTTTTCAAAGTCATCGTTGATGTTCTTAAGTTGATAAAGTTTTTGTTTGAGAGAGCCAGGGGTCGCGTTTTGATAACTTTCTATTTCCGAAACAAAACTGGTAATTGCTTCCTCATCCCCAGCCTTGGCAATTTTTCAATTTAAGTTCAAAAATTCCTGAAAAGTTTTTTTAACATCGTCAGAGAATTTATCAGATAAATTAACAATCGACGATGAATATTTATATTCTTTTTCCTTTTTATCTTTATAAACTTCTACCTCAAAATCATTGGCGTTTAGAAAAAGAGTATCTGCTGCTCCTGCTGTGCCACCAAAACTAAAACCCTCTTTCTCATTGTACTTTAAGTTTTTCAGAGTGAATTCAATTTCAGTATTGGTGCCCTTATTTTCCCAGGCTCAAGAAATAGGAATATCCAAAGTCTGAAAAAATATTTTTATTTTTCTAATGTCATTTACTAGAAATTTATCATTACCAAAAAAACCACTATTGCTTTTAATTTTAAGTTGAGTAACAATTGTTCCCCCTTGGTCCTTTATTAACAAATTGGTGGGCTCAATAACGCGAGGAGGATTAATAAAATTAAAAACTCCGTTTCCGCTGTCATTTTTGTACTTATCTTTATTATCAATTTTGATAGTTAAGTTGAGAAGTTTTGTCATTTTTAACTTGTTATACTAATTATAATAATTTTTAAAAATCACTACAAACCTCTTCTTCTTGAATTGCTTCTTTTTTTATGAATAGAACATTTTTTTTCAGATTTGTTTGTCATGAGTAATTATAATTTATATTATTTCTTACTGGGCAAGTAAAAAATAAATTACTCCTCCTCGTTATCTCCTTGCTTACTGATGAGTCAGGACAATGCCAACATTCCAATCACTAAAATATACTACCAACAACCCACGGAGTTCAATTAGTTTTATTTTCTCGGCTGTTCTTGGTTTGCTCCTGATAAACTTCCCCTTGATTATCTTTTTCCAGAGTTAGTTCACTTTCATTAACTTTTTCGGCATATGCAAGTTCAGCATGTTCATTACCACCTTGGTTAGGGGAGAAGTAAATTTTGGCTTTTCGTGATTATGTCCGCATTCTTCCTCCTCGTGATAAGCTAAATCAGCCCGGGCTTGCTTTTTGGCTGCTTCTCAATCAATAATGCTTTTATCCAGTTCAATTTTACCTCAACATTTACGACAAGCATAAAAATAACGAGTTTCAGATTTTTTAACTTGTTCTCAACTATCTTGCTTAACTTTTTTCACTGTTTCGGGATTATCTTTGTGTGAGCAAGTGCTTTCGTGAGTTTTTAATTCAGTTTTTACTTTTTCCTCGGCGGCTAAGAATTCGAGACTTTTATCAAACTGGAATTTTTCCGGACAATAGCAACAAGTTTTACTGCGGTCATAATTGGCTTCTTTTTTTCAGTTTTCCGCAATTTTTTGCCGTCCTTCTTAGTCTTTATGTCGGTAGCTTATTAGTTTAGTAAATGAGCTACTAACTAAAGCATTCTCAAAAGTAAGAAGTAAATAGTAAAAGGTTAGAAGTAAAAATTAATTAAATGGTAAAAACTAAAAAATCTTTAACTGTTCTGCCCACTAACCAATTATTAGCCCAAGTTTGGGATTATATTATTTCTCGTTCCCCAAAAAGAGGAGAATATAAGAAATCCGAGTACGAATGTCTTTTTTTGCTGGGCTGGAAAGTTGGCTTACGAATAACCGAGGCTATTGGATTTGACTTATCTTTGGAACACCAAGAACCAGAGTATAGAAACTTATATTTGCTAAGAGGTAAGGGTAAAAAGGAAAGATGAGTTTTTATTGCCCCAGAAATAATCAAAGAACTTAAAAAAAGAAACTGACAACCAAATACCACTAACCGAATTAGTTTTTTTGATTTCTTGGAGAAAGTTAAAAAAGAACTAAATATTACCGAAAATATTGAATTATCACCCCATACTCTCTGCAGATGCTTTGCCACTTACAATGCCATTAGCGGAATGCCTTTGCCTGTTTTACAGAAAGTGCTGGGACACTCTAAAATTTCTACGACTGCCCTTTATATTAAAGACTCTGATTTAAGTAATTTAGTTAAGTTTAGACCAGTGTAGCCGCTAAGTAAGCCAAAAATAAATAATATGGTAACCAAAACTCCCATCACTGGTAAAAAACAACTAACTGAAAGAATTGCTAAAAAAACGAAAACCCCGCAAAACCAAGTAGTTAGAATTATTGATGAACTACTCGAAGAAACCAAAAAAGCCTTAATTAAAGGTGAAGAAGTCCGTTTATTAGGTTATTTTTCTTTTAAAACAACTATGACTACTCCCCGCCTGGCTATGAATTTACAAACCGGTAAAAAAATGAAAGTTCCGGCGAAAAGAGTTCCCAAGTGTAAGTTTAGTTTAGGTTTAAAAGAAGCAATTAGTCAGAAAAAATAATTAAATGAACCTTACGAGAAATATCAAAGCCACCATTAACCAAAAAAAAGAACTATTAGATAGAAATAGAAATAATTATCTCATCTTAGAGTTAGATAATGGGGAAAGTATCTTTGTTTTTTCGGGTAAAGTCAGTGCAGAAAGGTGAAGTTGATTAGAAGAAGGCCAAGAAATTAATTTTACCGTGGAAGAAGGAAAAAATGGAGCTAATGTATTAGTGGATTATGAGATTGAGGTAAAATAATTATATTATGGTAGCCAAAATAACTAAATTAAAGAACCTAAATATTGAGCCTTTATCAGTGGCTAAATATTTTTATGGAAAAGGATTTGAAGATTATGGTTTAATTCAAAATTTTCTTTACCTCACTTACCGGGAAGTCCTCAAAAAGGAAAATAAAGTCCTATTTAAAGAAAAGTTTCAAGCCTGAGAAGATTGTCCAGTTTTAGAATCAGTTCATCAGCAAATGAAACACCATTTTAAAGAACATGGAACTATGGATTGTTTATTTGAAAAAGTAGAGGATATAGAAGACAAATCCATCAAATCCTATCTAACCAAAGTTTACCGGGATTATCAGAACTCTAAGAAGAAAGGTCAAGAGATTGAATTCCTTTTCTGAAATCAGGATGAATCCTGAGAGCAAGCCCGCGAACAGGCTAACGGAGAAAGGAGACCCCATATCTTTATTGAACCCGCCCAAATAATTGCTCTTACTAACTAATGGCTCAGATTGTTTTTGATTTTAGTGAGCTGATTACGGACTGCTTGCATGAGCCAGAAATTAAATTTACTAATGCCATTAATCAGGAAATAGATAGTAAAGTATTTATCTCTGAATTATTTCAGAACTTAAAGTTGACTTGTCAAGAAGCGGAATTAGAGGAATTGCTTGAAAGGGATCATTTTCATGTAGTTAACAATTCTTACGTTAAAGGGAAAATTGAAAACTTGGTAAATAATCCTTACTTTGAATTTACTAAACTTTGTCAAATCCCCTTAGGTAAAGAGCCAAGATTATACGGAAACCTCCAAAAAGTCAAACATACTAATCTTTATCTCTTTAAAGCCTTAATCCTTGACACCAATCACCTAATCTATGAGGAAACCAAGTTTAACAAGCTAAAAAATATGACTTGCTTATTTCGGGAAACAAATTGCCCAGAAACTAGGAAAATAGGATTAAAAAAGAAAATTAAAAGAAGATAAGCCCTTATTCTTCAAAACTTTTTCCCCAATCTCGGCTAATTTTTTTTCTAATCACTGAGTATTTTTTGCCAATTTCACTAAAAAAATCACGCAAAATTTTCCAGCAAAAAAAATCTATATTAGACATCTCCATAGAGTACTATATAGACATCTATAATATAGAAATTTACCTGCCCGGCTTATTAAACCAACTTACTAAAATCAAAAATATAGCACTGTCAAAGCCCGGTATCGGAAAAACAAATCTGCCTTATTTCAGAAAAAAAATATCGAAGGCTCTCCTAGTCATCTAGCAACCTTCCAGCTCTCCTTTTTAAAGCAACTGAAAATAAATATTACTTCTGAACTTCCTCCTTGTCTAAGAAATAAATAATCAAGAAAAATTAAATCTTTAATTTGATTTTCTTGAAAAGAAATAATTATAAATTTATGAATTATCAAAAAATATACGAATCTAAAATGTTCCATTTAGCCATTGCTGTTATGTTAGGAGTAGGTTTAGCCTGAGGATATGAGAAATGAGTAGAAAAGAAAAACTAATATGGCCAAGGTAATCAAACAACCAACCGAACACAATCTAGCCCAAAGTTATGACCTGATTATTGCTGATCTTTTTACTAAGTTAACTAAGCTAAAAGAAGGAGTGATTAAACTAGGAAAGTTAGGAGACTTACACAAAAAGAAAAGGATAATGAGAAGTGCTTTAAACGGCAAGACTTATGTTTACTATCAAGTGAGTTTCAAGGCTTCGGATTTACTAAAAAAAGCCTTAGATAAATTGTCCAGACTGAAATCCAAAATTTTCTTAATCTGTGAAAGAAATATCTTCTTAAACAACAAGAGTTAGTTAACAATCAAAAATATGCTACTTGAGTTTGGCGAGCAAAATGATTAAGCGCTGGAACAGGAATAATAGGTGCTGGCTTTAGTTACAATCAAGATTTAGGAACAGAAGCAGTTACCTTTGGTCTGGCGGGCGGAGCTTTGGCATATGCTAGTGATTATGGAATAAAAAAACTGGAAGAAAAAACCAAAAATTTGGCAGAAAAATTGAGTAGTAGAGAAGATGAATTTCAGCAAAAATCTCAAGAATTAAAGGACAATTACAACAAATTAATCAAAATTTGAAGAAATGATGTGCTTTTAATTTCAACTCCAATCAGTTTTGACGAGGTGAATAAGAGATTTAGCAGATTCTTGTCTACTATCGCTGACTTGGAGAAAGAGATGAAACTAGTTAAGAAGCATAATCCTGATTCTGACACTAATCAGCCAATAAATAATTGAGATATTATGGATGAAATTGAGGAGGGATTAAAGGAAAAGAAAAATATGGCTAAGTTTGTCCAACATCTACAAATTAATTGAGAAAAGTACCAAGTTAGTGAATTAATAAATAATTTGGTAAAAGAAGTAGAGGATTATCGTCAAGAAATGTATGATAATAAAGCAAGTCTTTTAAATTTGGATAAATCTTTACCTTCATTGCCAAATGATGACAATCAGCAAATGACACAAATACAAGTCCCTCCCAAAAATAATTAAAAAAACCAAGCATACTTACTCCACCACTTAAAATAATAATATAATAAATCTACTTAGTTTCTCTCTTATGAATAATACTAATATCTTGTTTTAATGCTTTTTGTCGGTAATGACTTGTAAAAAAAGTTATAGAAGAGAAAATCAGAAAATTTATGAAAAAAAGTCTTATCTTTCTCGAATCCGCGACCAAAAAAAAGACTATTCAGTCGTTTTTGGGTGAAGAATATATAATATTTGCCACCAGTGGTCATTTACGAGAATTAAAAAAATCTGGCATGTATAATTTGGGGGTAGATTTGCAAAACTTTCACCCTGCTTACAAAATAATTGAAGGAAAAGAGGAGGGAATTACTCGTTGAAAAAAATTCTTGGAAAAAGAAGACATTTTTTTAATTTATTTAGCGACTGACCCTGACCGGGAAGGTGAAGCCATTGCCAGTGACGTTATTGAACTGCTGGAATTAGACCCTAAAAAATATCAACATCGACGTTTACTTTTTTATGAAATTACTCCCCAAAGTATTAAAAAAGCTCTCACTAGTCCCCTCGATATTAACCAGAATTTAGTCGATGCCCAAAGGTCCCGCCAAGTACTCGACCGCATGATTGGCTTTTGCCTGAGTCCTCTTTTGCAAAAAAATCTGCAAGCGTTATCAGCCGGTCGGGTGCAATCAGTAGTTTTAAAACTAATCGTTGAACGAGAATTATTGATTAAACAATTTGAAAAAAAAAAACTTTATATCATTTGTGGAATTTGCCAAGTAAAAAATCAAAAAATAACTCTCAAGCAAGTTGATAATACTGGTCAGTTAATTCTTTACAAGGACAAAGTTGAGGCCGAAGAAATCAAAAACAAACTTGGTTTACTTTTCCAATTAGTTAGCACCAAAGAAGAAAAAAAATTTATTTTACCTAAATCCCCCCTCATTACTTCTTTATTATTATTTGAAGCTAAATCGCAATTAGGATTTTCGGTGGCTCAAACTACTCAATTAGCCCAAAAATTATATGAAGGAGTGTGAATAAGCACCAAAAGAAAACAAGTCGGCTTAATTACTTATCCGCGAACTGATTCACCTCGTATTAATCAAGGATTTATGAACCTAGCCTATAAATATATTCAGGAAAAATGAGGTCCTAACTATGCTAATATTAATCCGGCTTGGAAAAAGAAGGAAAAGACAATTAATGTTCAAGACGCCCATGAATCCATCCACCCCACTTACTTGGATTATCAGCCCGAGGAAATTAAAAGTTCTCTAACGGAGGAAGAATATAGTCTCTACAAATTGATATATAATCACACTTTGGCTAGTTTAATGAGTCCGGCTCAAGTTAACAAAATTACTTATAACTTTCTTAATAATAATTATCATTTTGTTACTGCTGAAAGAATTTGCCAATTTGCTGGATTTTTGGTAGCTTTTCCAGAAGTTTATTTTTCTAATTATAATGTAAAATTGCAGAGTGAATTAGCAGAAGTTTCGCAACTAGAAGCCAAAAAAGTTGAAATTCAAGAATATCAGGAAAATAAACCAGTTCGTTATAATGAAGGTAGTTTAGTTCAAGAATTAGAAAGATTGGGGGTTGGTCGTCCTTCGACTTATAACATTTTTGGTCGGGTGCTATTGAAAAGAGGTTATGCCCAACTAAATGAAAAGGGTCAATTTGTCCCTACTCCACTAGGAATTTCAGTTAATGGTTGATTGCAAGCCAACTTTTCCGTGCTGATAAATGAAGGTTACACTGCAGCTTTGGAAGAGGAATTAGACAAAATTAGCCAAGGGGAAAATGATTATCAGACTTTTATTAGGGCTTTTTGGGAAGAATTTAGTCTTTCGCTGAAAAGAATTAGTAAATAATTTTTTAGTTATCAACAGAGAGAAAATAAAAACTAAAATAATTAATATATTCCAATTTAGATTTATACATGACAAAAAAAAGTAATCAATTAAAAATCACTGTTTATGGTTATGATGTGGCAACGGTCGAGGAAGCCACGAAATTAGTTACCGAAAAAATTTCCCAACTTAAATTAACTTTTAGCGGTCCCGTTCCTTTTCCCAATCAAAAAAAAGTTGCTACGGTGATAATTTCACCACATAAACATAAAAGTTCCCAGGAGCATTTGTCTCAAGAAACTCATCGCCGAGTAATTAACGTTTTTGGTATCTCTCCAACTGACTTAGACAATTTGGAAATTTTAAAATCAAAAATTTCTAATACGGCCTATCTAACGTTCAAGAGTTCTCTTTAAGTTGGCTCAATAAGTGCGGAATGATTTGTTTGGAATATAATAGGTCTTTGAACCAATTTGAAATTTCTGTCGATTAGTAGCAAACTTTCTGCGGGTAGCTCGCATCGAGAAAGACCGATTATTTCCGGCTAACGGCTTATTTTTTTTATTTAATAATTTTTCTATTTCTTGTTTTTTCATATGGATTTTTTACAATGACTCAAGGGAGGTTATGGATATTTATTCCTCTTCCTGATTTTTTTTCTTATTATATTATTTTTAGTTTTTTTCACTTATCTCAAAAGAGTTTATTGGAGTAAATTAGAGTTAAAAACGCTAATCCACAACCGAAAAAGACAAGAAAATAAACTAAAAAATAGAGAGAAAAAATTAGAAAATGCTAATGAACAGTTAACTATTGAGCGGGAAAAGGTTGAGTCAATGGAGCGAAAATTACAGCAAGAGGAAAAGAGAATAAGCGAATTTTCCAATCAACTATTCCGCAAAGAGGAGTTATTTACTCAGCAACTGGCGGTAAATTCCAAAAAGGAAAAGAGTGTTCAGGAAGAGATGGAAAAAGTTAACGAGATAAAAAAGAAGATAACAGATGAGTTAGAAAGGATAATTCCAATGAGCAAAGAAGAAGCAAAAAATCATCTCTTTGCTTTGTTAAGAGAAGAAATTGATCGAGAATTAGAGAGATACAAAGAAGAAAAAATTAAACGGGTAGAAAGAAAAACAAAAGAAGAAAGTACTAAAATAATTTGCTTGGCGTTGGAAAAATGCAGTTCAGAATTAGTTTTTGCTCGCACAACTGATAATTTGCAAGTGGAAAATCGGCAAATAATTAGTAAGATAATTGGAAAAGAAGGGCGGAATATTAATGCTTTTCAGCGAGTTACTGGTACTGAAGTGATTATTGACCGCGAGAGCGATGAATTAACCGTGCAAATTTCTTCCTTTAATTCCTTGCGACGAGCAATCGGTTTACAAACTCTCCATACTCTAATTAAAGAAGAAAGATTTTCCCCTCTCCAAATTGAAAAAACTTACGAAAAAGTAAGTTCTGAAACTAACGAACTTATTATTAAAACTGGTGTTGAAGTATTGAAAGAATTAGAATTGAATGATGTTCATCCAGAATTAGTTAAACATTTGGGAAAACTAAAATATCGCACTAGTTATGGGCAGAATGTGTTGGAACATTGTCTAGAAGTAGCCAAATTGGCGGGAAGTATTGCTGCCGAATTAGGCTTGGATGTGCTTTTAGCTCGGCGTTCTGGTCTCTTTCACGATATTGGCAAAGCGGTGGAAGATGGGGGAGGTTATTCTCATGTCCTGAGTGGTGTCAGTTTAGCCAAAAAGTACCAAGAATCCGAAATAGTTATTAACGCGATTGCTTCTCATCACCGTGATTCCCCCCCCAATAACCTTTATTCTTTGATTATTTTAGCGGCTGATAAATTGTCGGCGGCTCGACCAGGTGCTCGTGGTTATCAACTTGAATCTTATATTACCCGGATGAGTAATTTAGAAAGTATTGCTAGTGAGTTCCCAGGAATCAAAAAAAGTTATGCTTTTCAAGCAGGAAGAGAAGTGTGAGTATTTGCCGATGCTGATAAATTGAATGACCATAAAACTTGGGAAGTTGCTCGAAAAATTAGAGAAAAGATTAAAAAAGATATTATCATTCCTGGTGAAGTAATTATTCATGTTATTCGCGAGAAAAGATTTATTCAAAAATTAAACAGCAAGAAGGAAAAAGAAAAATTTAAATCACGAAAAAAAAGACAATAGATTGTGTCCAGGAGAAAATTACTAAAAAATCTACTCAAAAAATTCCGCTGGCCCTTCTTTTTCCTCTTCTTACTTACTTTCTTGACCAGTTATTTAACTTTTCTTATTCGATTTAATTTACGAACCAATTTATCTCTTAATGATGATACGCGTGGTAAATTTTATTATCTTTTTGGTGAATGCACTGTTATTCAAAAAATAAAAAATGATGGTTCAGTTTATGTTAATTGAGGTAAATTATTACTTATTCTTTTTCTTCTTTATTTTCCGGTTAAGTTAATTATTCAATTTAGTCTTAATTATTTTCGCAAGTATTATGAAAGAGAAGTGCAAGTTTATTTGTCAAAAAAATTGCTGGGTTTTGCTTATAAAAACAAGGATTTAATGGTTAAAAAATCCTCAGAAAAAGTTCATATCATTAATGAAACAGTGCCTAATTTTAGTCGCCAATTTTTTACCATTCCTATTAGTTTGTTTGGGGTTATTACCGATGTTTCTTTGGAAATATTTTCCTTGTATTTTCTTATCCAAACAAGGAATTTAGCAGACTTAATTCCTTTAATTATTGTATTCATTTTGGTTAACCTGGTTTGGTTTATACTCTTTAATTACTTTGCTAAAAAATTTCAAGAAAGGAATAATAAAAAGAAAATAGTTTATCAACAAGATGAAAAACTTCAAGTAAGAAAATTTTTAGAAAATTTAAATACCACAAACAATAAGCCAGGAGATTTAGAAAGATTATACAAATTGATAAACCGCAACTCAGAAAAAATTTCTTTTTTAAACCTTGCCACTTTGTTTTTTTCTTTGCCGGATTTAATAATTCCAGGGTTTAGTATTTTCTTTTTGTTTCTTTATTATCAGTTTTATTCAGGAGGAAAGGGAGGTTTGAGTTGAAATGAATATTTTATTGCCAATAATTTGCAAAGTATTTTTTTAAAATTAAAAAAGGGTTTTAATTTACTATCAATTATTTCTTCTTTTCGCAAAAACTCTCGATTTTTTGATAGTTTTTGCGATTAAATATTTTTTAAAATTCTTTTTTTTAATCGGTGGTGACGAATTATTAACAAAGCACTTATCAGAAAAATTAATGAGAAACTAATAATAATCACTGTTGGCATAGCAGGAAACTTGCTAGAATCTTCTTCTTTTTGCGAACTAATAACTAATATTTAATTCACTTTATTTTTTTGTTTTTGATAAGAGTTTTGTTGAAAACTATTGCTGATACTAATAAAAAAATATAATTTCCTTTTTGCTGAGTTTTTGGCTTCGGGGTAACGGCTGCTACTAAGTATTATTTATATTTATTCTTTTCTCTGTTAGGAAAGCTTTTGTTTAACTACTCTTGTGCTTTTCTTGACTTTTTATGATTATAACATAATTTATAATACATACCGACACTTTGCAGAAATTAAATTAATTGCTTAAAATTATTCTATATGTTTCTTAACTTACTTTCCCCTTTTTGATTAGTAAATTATTATGAATAAAGAATCAATTTTAAATGATAAGAAAATCGCTAATAATCCAGATGGAACTGGTAATAGTTCAGTTTTAGATAAGTCGCGACCAGAAATCGAATTCTTGCTGATGGAAAGGACGGGTAGGGTATGGCCCCATCATGGCGGGAAAAAAGCATTAAGTGCTAGCACTCTTACCAAAATTTTGCGCGAGGTAGAGTATAAAGACATACCCCAGTTCATCCTGCTCAGAGCAGCTGAGCGTGGAAAAAACTTCCATGACACTATTCAAGAGTTCGTGCAAAATGGCAATCATCCTGATTTTGTTGATTTGGTAGAAAGTGCCAAGTTAAATAATTTGGACAAGAGAATTCACGAAACAGTTAATTTTTTAAAAAAAACTAAATCATTAAAACTGGATCGCTTTCTTGGCAGTGAAACTCTGCATTATGTTTTTTACAAGGATGAATTATTGGCTACTTATGTTGACCTAGAGTTTCATGATTACATTATTGAGTTGAAAACTAGCAATATCAAGTCAAATGATAGTCCGTTGGCGCTACTTATTTTTGAAATTCAGTTGCTTATTCAATACTTGTGTACTGGCAAAAACATTTATCTGTTATGAAGCACTGGCGAAGGGGTAATTTTTGATGAATTTCAAATATCGCCTCATTCGCTAAAAATACTTGACATGTTGGTGGAATTAGTGCGGAATGGCGATACTTATTCGCTACAAATGAAAAAGGCAATTATCCAAAAAATAGTAGGTAATTATTCGGCACCTAAAAAACTAATACAATAAATATAATTAAATTATAAGTCAAGAAAATTATGAAAAATTGTAATATATCAAAAATAAATCAAGGAGGTTGTAATAATTTGTTCCCAATTTATATTTTCCTTACTGTTATTTCTTCGATTGTGCTGCTATTAGTTATTTTAATTGTGCTGTTAATTACCAAAGGAACAGTTAACTTTTTTTAATTCGGTTTTTGCTTAGTAATAGAACAGTAATTACTCCAATTATTAGTGTTCCACCAATTACATAACCAATCAAAAGATTGTTATTTTCAGTCTTTTCGGTTGAATTAGTATGAGAAACATTACTTAATTCTAATTCGTGGCGAGTAATTTTTTTATCATTCTTGTTTTGTAAAATATTGTCTATTCCCTTTAATTCAGGAAAATTACTTAGGAGATTAGTAGAAATTGAATTGTTATACTCAATTATTAGTTTTTTGTTTTCTAATTTAATTGATTTAATATCATGTTTCTGGAAATATTGAAGTAGCGTTTGGTTATTTAATTCTTTTGGTTGACAATTAGGAAGATTTTGATTGTTATCTGAATTATTTTCAACTGATTTTTCTTTTTCGTAATTCCCCTGCTTATCAACCGGAGTAATGGTAATTCTGTCATTCAAACCAACCACTTTACCTCAACTATCCGGCACATCATGCTGAGAAGCATCAGGACGAGTGGCTTCCAGAGGTAGATTATTAACTCCCTCAATTAAGTAAAATTGATTTTTTAAGGTTCAACGAGTACCTTCTCCCTCGGTTCCATTTTTATATTTAAACTTTTCCTTGTATTTAAAACTAACTAAATCGGAGTGGGTATCCGGAACCATTAAATAAAAATTTCGACCATTTTCTTTGCCTCAAAAGTAGATGCAACCATATTCAATGCCTTCGATTTTTTTTCACTCAACGCAATGAGCATAAGTATCCTCACAATAAAATAACCCCTTTTGATTGTTTAATTTTTCCTCCCTTTCTTGTTTTTCTTGCTCCTTTTCCTTTTCCAATCGTTCTCGGTCTGCCTTAGTTCATTTGTTCGGACTGTTTTCTCCTTCTGCCTGATGTTCTTCGCAATAGTAAACACGTAAATTTCCCTCAGGGTGGTCTTTGTCCTTCTCGTATTGGCAAAACATGTCTTCAATAACTTTTGTCATTTTTTTATTTCCGCAACAATCCTCCCTTTCTTCTCAGAGGAATTTTTCTTCCTTTTTGCCGCAGACGAAGCAGATATCACCTCCGCAGCCATGACATAATTCAGTATTATTTGGACCTTTAATAGGAGTAAACTTTCATTTCTCGCCGCACTTATTATAATTACTACATTTAATTACTTTGTTTGACATAATTCATTTTTGTTATATATATATATATATTAGTTTTAATAACTTTTTAACTCAAAAAATCTTTCTTATTCATGCGAATTAATTTCTCGCCAGTAAATTGATAAATATAGTCAACATATTCAAATATCTTATAGTGATGGTCAATTACTAATACTGTTTTACCTTTTAACTTGTCAAAAATATTTTGGAGAATAATTTCTTTGAGGTCAGGATAAACATTACTTAATATCTCGTCCAAAATGTAAATATCATAGTCATTAATAAACATTTTCATGGCGGAAATTTGCTGTTTTTGTCCTTCGGAAAGGTCACTGCCTCCTTCTCTTAATACGGTATCAAATCCTTGCGGTAATCTGGTAATAAATTCATAAATACCAGTTTTTTTCGCGGCTTGAACTAACTTATCATAATTTTTTTTGTCATAATTATTAGGATAACAAACATTCTCGGCAATGCTCATACCAAAAAAGGTTGGGCGGTTAGTTTGGTAGCAAATGCTTCGATGTAGGCTAACCGTATCAATTTCTTGAACATTACGTTGACCAATCAATATTTTTCCGGCTTTTAGGTCATAGAGTTTGAGGGTGGTTTTGGTGATAGTGCTTTTACCAATGCCATTTTTCCCGGCAATACCATAAACTTTCCCTTGTTGAAAAGTGAAAGTAAAATTTCGCAAAATATCTTGTTGAGGTCGTTTGGGGTAAGCAAAAACGACATTTTGAAAAATTATATCGCCATTGACAAAAGGCTGCTTTTTCTTAGGAAGGAATTTCTGAGGTAAATGGCCAGTTGGGTGGTGGAGAACTTGTACTGTCTCATTAACAATCTCCAAATTAGTAGAAAGTTCGTCTAAGGTTAATAAAGCATCGACTATTTTTCCGACTTCGCTGTTTAAATTTTTGACGGACATGTAATAACCAGAAAAATTACCGATAGCGAACACAGCGCTCGTTCTACTATTCTCTTTGGCCAAAGTTAGGGTTGCAGCCAAAAAAAAAACAGGAATGTTAGGAACTACCAGATAATTAGGAATAGTTTTAAACATGGTACTATACCATAATGCTTTTTTATTTTTTTGGAAAGTGGCATCGAGTTGTTGATTAACTTTTTCTTCTTCGTACTTTTCTCCCGAAATGGATTTAATATATTCTAAATTGTTAATTCGTTCGTAAATCATCTTATTATCTTCTTCTTGCCTTTTTTTCGCAGCTACATTTATTTTGCTGGCTTTTTTAAATAATATTATTTCACTAATAATTAGAATCACAAACAAACCAAACACAATGGCCAAAAATCCCCAGTTAATTCCTCCTTTTTCATTGCCAAAATTAAAATCATAGATAATTACACAAGCAATAGCTGCCGTCACGTAAATTAAGCGATTAGGAATAAACCAAATACTATAAGCAATTTCATCCAAATCGCTGGCAAATTGAGTAATTAAATTACGAGAAACTTCAACCGAATTAGCATACTTAGCCCGAATAAAGTGCCGAAATAAGTCTTTTTTTAAATCTTTTTCAATCCGATCATAAGCATAAGCCATCCAGTAATAATGAAGAATAGAAAAAATGCTCTTAACGACAAGAATAAGTACCAAAGAATACCCAATAAATTCTCAAATACCTAAATTTTCTTTTTTTAGCATTCCCCCGGGGAAATTGAATTGAAATTTAAAAATGTTGGCATTGAAAACATTTTTGTTTTCCGATAATCCTTTAATAAAAGCCTCTCGTAAATTGAGCCCGATATTGTAATTAACAATAGCCACAATTGCCGCTAAACAAGCACAAAAAATAAATAATTTAGGATTATTTCTGATAATTCTTCTTAATACTCGAAAGAGCAATTTGGCTTTACTTTTTTTTTTTGTTTTGAGAACTGATTTAGTGAATACTGTGCTGGGGGACATTCTGAGTGGTTGATATATTAATAATATTTTGTTAGTTATAGTTTGAAGAGCATGATTTACCAAATCAATAATAAATAAAAATATATGGCAGAAAAAGTAATCGAAGTCAAACAAATCAGTAAAAGATATGGCGACAAAATAGTTCTCAAAAATGTCTCTTTCTCGGTGCGGCGAGGAACTATTCATGGTTTCATTGGTCCCAATGGAGCAGGTAAAACAACCACCCTCAGCATCCTAACTCGTTTAGTTTTGCCAACCCACGGCGAGGTTTATATTGATAACAAATCAGTTAATAGAGAACCAAGTTTTAATCAACGCCTCGGTTTTATTCCTGCTGAGCCAAAATTTCCTAGTCTCACCGTGGAAAATTATATCCTAGATTGTGGTTATTTACGAGATATTCCCAAGGAGCAAGTGCTACGGAAACTGGCCAGTTCACCTTTATCTCAATTTCGCCACCAAAACTGTCATTCTCTTTCCACTGGTTGGAAGAAAATATTGCAAGTTTTCACTTTAAGCCTTTATCGACCAAAAATACTCTTGTTGGACGAGCCTTTTAATGGCTTAGACCCTAGTTTTCGCCAAGATTTATTTAACAATTTAAAAAATATCAAAGAACAAGGAGGAACAATTTTAATGTCCACTCACATTCTTTCTGATTTACAAAAATTAGCCGATGATATTACTATGATTAAAAGAGGCAAAATTGTTTATACGGGAACTAAAACTGCCGATATTGAACAAACTTATGAGGATTACTTTATTGAGAAAGGAAAAAAAATGTTTGAATTATAAAAATAAATTATGTCGCAAATTGGAAAATTATATAGTTATTACTTAAAAAAAATATTTCGCAAAAATTGACTACGAATTACTGTTGTTAGCATTTTTTTAGTTGGAGTAGTTTGGTTTATTATTCCTTATCTTGCTTATCGTGGTTCAGCCAAACTCTTTGAAAATAAGACAAGAGAAATGGCTGAGAATCCGAGTCTTAGTGCTGAAGAAAAAAGAAGGTTGCAAGAAAGTGCAAGAAATCAATTAAAAGAGTATAATTTTCGTGAATTTAACCGTTTGGGGTTTGGAACAGATGAAAGTCAAATATTTGCTATTTTGTGGAAAATTAATCGTCGAGTATTAGCTGAGAATATAAAACTGCTAGCCGAAAAAAAAGAGGCAGGTGCTAGTCAGGAGGAGTTAGAAAATTTAAAAGGAATAATATCAGAGCAAGAAGCGTTTGATAAATTTAAGTTGTTTGGGGTTGATATTTTGCTCTTTAATGCTGACAATTCTTTCTTTTTTAATCAAGATGAAGAGTATAACACAGGAAAAAAATATTGAAAATTACTTAATGATATTTCCTTAGGAAATTTAACTGGGTTTATTGTTCTCTTCTGGCTTGTTTTCAGCATTTTAGACAGCACCTTTTCTAATCCAAAAAAAGATGGAGAAGAAGCTACAGTTTTAACTTTCACTCCGGGTGTCAAAAGAAGTGATTTATTTTTTGGAAAAGTTTTGGCCTTCCTAACTTTCTACTCCATTATTAATATTTTCTTATTTCTTTTACCTTACGGCTTTTATTATTTCTGAGCAGCCAAAGAAATTTCGGGGTCTTTCGCTTTATTGGGTCTTTATACAACAATTATTGGTCCAGTTTTGTTCTTTGGATTAATTCTCACTCCTTATATTTATTTAAATTCTCTGTCGGGGTTTTTGGGTGGAATAATTTCCTCTTTAGTGGCTTTTTTTCCTATAGTATGAGAACTTGGAAAAAACTTATTATTTAAACTTTATGTTTGACCTTACAAGGTGGAAAAATGATTTTTTGACCCCGTTTGATTTACGGTTATTTCCTTAGTAATTGGAATTCTTTTTCTCACTCTTTACCATTGGCACTACCAAGAAGAAGATTTAGGTTAAAATATAATTTTTTGTATGTTTAAATTCCAAAAAAATGCTTTTTCCAAACTTTATCGTTATTATTGTATCAAGTTATTAAGTAGAATATGAGTAGCATTTCTTTATGCTGCTATTTTTGTTTTTCAATTATTCCTGGTGTTAGGTAATAAAAGAATAGCTGACAAAATATTAGGCAATGCTAATAGTTGGCAAGAGAAATTATTTCTTTTTTGAATGTTTTCATTTTTTCAGTTATTTGTTTTAATGATGGTAATGCACCCCCTTATTTCTTATCTGGTTGGACGAGGCTTGGGTTGGAAAGAATTAAGAAAAAGACAGCTTTTTAAAATGCCGGAAATTAGTCGCGAAGAAGATATTAAAGTTCTCATTTTTACTCCGGATGTTAATCGAGAAACAGTCATATTGGCCAAATTTGCTGCTGCTTTTACTTATTTTATGGCGTTTAATTTTTTTCTCACTACTTTGCCTTTAATTATTTACTTTTTGGTTGCTACTAAACTAGGAATAACTGCCACTCTTTCTTTTTTGCTACTTAATGGGATAATTTTGGCCGTGGTTAATTTTTTGTTGCTGGCTCCTTTGCTTTTTTTTCAACAAGAATATAGTTCTTTTTTAGTTTACTTTCTTTGCTCATTTTTTTTGATGTTGTTCGCTCTTGCCGCTTATTTCTTGCGAGAAGTTATTCTTCAGTGTCCCCTTATTTTTTATTTTCTTTCTATTCCTTTATCGGTTCTGATTGGTTATTTTTTCTTCTTTCTTTATCAAAAAAAGTTTCTGAAAAATGATTTGGCTTAAAATTTATTAAACAAACAAAGTGCGAGTATAGTTCAACGGCTAGAATATTAGACTGCCAGTCTGAGGATACGGGTTCGATTCCCGTTACTCGCTCCAAATTGGCGAATATGGCGGAATGGTTAACGCGCTAGTTTGTGGAACTAGAGTTCGTGAGTTCAATTCTCACTATTCGCCCCATTTTAAAAAAAATGCGGAGTTCTTTAATTTTGTTTTCTCTCCCCAAAAAGAAAAGAGTTTTCATGATTGAGTTCGGTGGTGTGTTTATTTCTAGTTATATTTGGCTAGTTTTTTTGCCACCGGACAAAATTAACTAAAATCAAATAAGCAAGTAAAATGTTATGATTGCGGATGAATATTTTCGCAAGTTGAAGCCATTAAACAGAATAAAAGTAGTGGCAATTATAAGTAGATTAGGTTGAGGAGAAAAAGGTGCAATATTATTGGCAAAAGTTATTAGATTGTTATTGCTCGCGATCATAAAAGAGTAGGAAACCACTGTTTCTGGCAATGAGTGATATCAGTAGTAATCTTAGAAATAACACTATTCGCCATTGTCGTTTATCTAGCAGTTAGAAGAGGAAACAAAAATAGTTCTTGAATATGAACAAAGACAAGGAAAAAGAAATTATTGAACGATTTACCGAGAATCTCAATAAAAAGGAAAAAGTTAATGAATTAGCAGTAATTGGACGAGAGGGGGAAATTAAACAGTTAATTTATATTTTGTCACGAATGATGAAAAATAATCCGTTGCTGATTGGTTATCCAGGTGTAGGAAAAACTGCCATAGTTGAAGGATTAGTTCAAAGAATTAAGCAGGAGCAAGTACCTGATTATTTGAAAGGAAAAACTGTCTATCAACTTGATATGATGTCCTTAATGGCCGGAACCAAATTTCAAGGCGAGTTGGAAGAAAGATTAAAAGTCATCTTTAATTTTATGGCTCGACCGGAAAATAACGCTATCCTTTTTATTGATGAAATTCATTTGATTGTCGGGGCTGGTCGCAGCCAAGGAGCACTCGATATTGCTAATCTCCTAAAACCGATGCTTTCCCGGGGCGAAATTCAATGTATTGGTGCAACCACTCAGGAAGAGTATCGACAATACATTGAAAAAGATGAGGCACTAGTACGACGTTTCAACACTATTTCTGTTCATGAACCAAGCCCAAAAGACACGTTAAGGATTTTGCAGGGCATTCGTAATTACTTTGAGATTTATTACGAACTGAAAATCTATGATGAGTCATTAATAGCGTCAGTTCGTTTTTCCCAACGATATTTAACAACAACTTATTTACCAGACAAAGCCATTGATTTGCTGGATGAAACTTGTGGGCGAGTAAGAAGCGAAATGTGATATGAACCAGAAATAATTGAAAAAACTAGGCGAAAATTAAGGGAGTTAGAAATAAATATGGCAGCACTTCGCGAAGAGGAAAAGGATGAAATAAAGGAATTTTCCCTCCAACAAGAAATAAAAAAACAGAGAAAAAAATTAGAAGAATTATTGGAATTAGATAGAAAAGAAAATAAAATTATTCAGGAATTAAATCAGGCCAAGCGAGAATTGGCCCAGGTCGAAAAGGAACTAGTTATTTATGAGGAAAAAGAAATTGATTTCACCAAGGCAGCCGAGCGAAGATATTCCACCCTGCCTTCCCTTAAAGAAAAGGTCAAGCGATTAGAAACAGAAGCGAGCAACAATGTATTAAGAAAATATTTCATTAACCAGGAAGACATTGCTTTAACAATTGCTCGAAAATACGATTTGCCAGTAGGAAAAATTGTTGCTGACGAACAACAAAAATTACATTTTCTCCCAGTTATTCTTCAAGAGCGAGTAAAAGGACAAAACCAAGCTTTGCGCTCAGTTGCTGATGCCATTTTTCGAGCGAGAGCCGGAGTTCAAGATCCTAATCGTCCTTCGGCTTCTTTTTTGTTTGTTGGACCAACTGGCGTCGGAAAAACTGCAGTAGCTTTGACGATTGCCGAACAACTTTTTGACCAAAAAAAAAATTTCATTCGTTTAGACATGACTGAGTTTTCTGAACCACACTCCATTAGCAAACTGATTGGTTCTCCGCCTGGTTATATTGGATTTGAAGAACAGCCAAGACTAGAAGTTATTCGCAAAAAAATGAACAGTGTGGTACTTTTTGATGAAATAGAAAAAGCTCATCCCGAAGTTATCAATATTCTTTTACAAATATTAGACAATGGTTTCCTTACTCTAGCTAATGGGCGAGAAGTAAATTTTCGCAATACTATTATCATTTTGACCTCTAATTTGGGTTCTGAATTATACTTTGAGGGCAAGGAAAAAAACGAATTAAAAGAAGAAGTGGAGTTTGAGTTAAAAAATCATTTCCGTCCCGAGTTCCTCAATCGTTTAGACGAAATAGTTTTCTTTAATTCTTTAACAAAGGAAATTATTAGAGAAATCATTGTCAAAGAATTAGAACTATTTATTCGGCGCATCCAGCAAGAGAAAAATATTAAAATAGGGTATGGTGAAGAAATAGTGGAAAAAATTCTGCAAGAGGCTTATTCTTTGGAGTATGGTGCTCGTCCAATTAAGCATTATATCGAGAGGAAAATTGGCACCTTGGTAGCGCGAGGAATTATTTCTCAGCTTCTCCACCTTGGTGGAAGATATTTTCTTGATTTAGAGAAAGAGACAAAGGAAATTAAAATAAATATGCTTCGTTCATTAGAATCAGGAAAAAATTTATTAAAAGAAAAATATGAGTAAAAAAGAAGAAAAAGAAATTAACAATTCAAAAACCTCCCAAGCAGATTCGAACAATCCACTTTCTGAACAACAAAAAAAAGTTAAACATTATTCAGAAAAAAAAAATGATAACAAAAAAAAAGTTACAGAAAATTTAGGAAAAAATAAACAAATAACTGAGTCCGAAGAGAAGATTGGCGGTTTAAAAAAAGAATTAGAAGATTTAAAAGAAAAAAATCTTCGTTTGTTAGCTGAGTTAAAAAATCAGGAAAAAAACCACCGAGTAGCAATAACTGAAGCGATAAAATATGGTAATGAAAGATTGATACAGCAATTTCTTTTCTTTCCCGATAATTACGAGCGAGCTCTGCAAGTTGTACAACAAATCGAACAGGAGCCAAACCAAGACCCCAAACTTCTGCAAAAAAAAATCAAGGATTTGCTGGAAGGTCTGCGAATGATTTTAATGTGATTTCAAAATATTTTACAAAAGCAAGGAATAGAAGAAATCAAAGTTATTCCTCTCCAAGAAACTTTTAATCCCGATTTGCATACTGCTTTGGAGGTAGAAGAAAATAATGATTATCCGGAAGGAACTATTTTACAAAATTTACAAAAAGGTTATAAGATTCATCAAAAGGTTTTGCGTCCCGTCACAGTAAAAATTAGTAAAAAAATAAATAAAAATAACGAAAATAAGAAAAATTAATAATATGAATAAAAAGGTAAGTAATAAAATAGTAGGTATTGACCTCGGAACAACTAATTCTTGTGCAGCAATTAATGGCAAAGTTATTGCTAATAAGGAAGGTAAAAATACTACTCCTTCGGTAGTGTTTTTCGATGAAAAAGGGGAAAAAGTATTGGCAGTCGGACAAGCAGCTAAAAAACAAGCAATTGTCAAACCAAAACAAGTGGTTTTTGAGGCGAAACGGCTGATTGGTCGGAAATTTAATTCGCCCGAAGTTCAAGAATTTCGCAAAATTGCTCCCTTTGAAATTATCTCGGGAAAAAATGGCGACGCTTATATTAAAGTAGGCGAAAAAGAATATCCACCTCAACAGATTTCGGCTTTTGTACTCCAAGCCATGAAAGAAATAGTTGAAGATCATTTAGGAGAAAGTATTAAGAAAGCAGTAATTACCGTTCCTGCTTACTTCAATGACGCTCAACGACACGCGACCGAAGATGCTGGAAAAATTGCTGGCTTGCAAGTAGAAAGAATTATTAATGAACCAACCGCGGCCGCTTTGGCTTACGGAATTGATAAACAAAAACAACTACACACTATTGCTGTTTTTGACTTGGGTGGTGGAACTTTTGACATTTCTATTATTGAAATTGACGGAGAAGTCTTTAAAGTCAAGGCAACTAATGGTGATACTTTTTTAGGAGGTGCTAATTTTGACCAAAAAATTATTGATTGACTAGTTGAAGAATTTAAGAAAGACGAAGGAATTGATCTGCGAAAAGATAAAATGGCTTTGCAACGTTTGAAAGAAGCAGCCGAAAACGCTAAGCATGAGCTATCTTCTTTAGAAACTACTGAAATTTCTCTTCCTTTTGTCTCAGCAGATGCTTCTGGTCCTAAACATATTAATAAAAAATTAACACGGCAGAAATTTGAAGAACTAACTGCCGAACTTTTGGAAAAATTAGCCTCACCATGCGAGAAATGTATTAAAGATGCCGAAGTCGCCAAAAAAGACATCAACGAAGTTATTTTGGTGGGTGGAATGACCCGCATGCCGAGCGTCCAGAAAAAAGTAGCCAAAATTTTTGGTAAAGAGCCAAATAAAACAGTCAATCCCGATGAAGCAGTGGCCTTAGGAGCTGCTATTCAAGGCGGAGTATTATCCGGAGATACTAAAGATATTCTCTTGTTAGATGTTACTCCACTTTCATTAGGTATTGAAGTACAAGGTGGTAATAATGACGTAATTATTCCTCGTAATACTACTATTCCGACTAAGGCAACACGTGTTTATTCAACGGCGGAAGATAATCAACCTAGTGTTCACGTGCGAGTTCTTCAAGGAGAACGACCAAAAGCTTTGGACAATAAAGTGTTAGGGACTTTTGAATTAAGTGGTATTGAACCAGCTCCCCGCGGTGTTCCCCAAATTGAAGTTACTTTTGATATTGATGCTAATGGTTTAGTTAGCGTCTCGGCCAAAGACAAGAAAACTAATAAAGAGCAATCAATCACTATTAAGGATGGTAGTGGACTAAGTAAGGAAGAAATCGAAAGAATGATTAGAGAAGCAGAAGAAAATAAAGAAAAAGATGAAGAATACAAAGCCAATTCTGAATTACTCAATCGTGCTCAAACTTATTGCCACACTTTTGAAAAGCAAATTGCTGAATTTAGAAAACATAAGGATTTCAATGAAAATGACGAGGGATTCAAAAAATTTGAAGAAATGTACAAAGGGTTGAAAGAATTTGCTGAGAAAAAAGATTACCCAGCCATTAAAACTCAATTAAATAAAGTTGAAGAAATGATGAAATTGGCTAATGAATTAGCCGAAAAAATGCCAGCAGAAAAAGGTGAAAAAAAAGATAATGGTGAAGAAGAGGTAATGGATGTCCAACCAGAAAAAAAAGACGACGACAAAAAATAATAATGGGTCAATTACGATCTTACTTTTATGAATAAAAAAGACTACTATGACGTTCTCGGTATTGATCGTAAGGCTTCCGAAAAAGAAATTAAGTCAGCCTACCATAAGTTAGCAGTGAAATGGCATCCCGATAAATGGGTAGGTAAGTCAGAAGCGGAGAAAAAGGTTGCTGAAGAAAAAATGAAAGAAGTTAATCAGGCTTATGAAGTTTTAAGCAATGCCGAAAAACGCCAAAATTATGACCAATATGGCAGCGCTGAGGGCTTCGCTCAAGGTCATCCCAGAGGAGGATTTGGTGGCCGCGAAGAATCCTTTTTTGAGGACATTTTCAAAACTTTTTTTGGTGGTGCCGGTGATTATTCCGAACAAAGAACTTATGCCGAAGATAAAACCCGACCCCAAGTTGGAAGTGATATTTTAATTAGCGTTGTTTTGAGTTTCAAGGAATCGGTATTAGGAGTTAAAAAAAAAATAGCTTTAGAATTAGAAAAAGTTTGTAGCGATTGTCAGCAGACGGGAGCTGCTTCCCCGAGTGATATTGTTGAGTGTCCGAATTGTCAAGGACGTGGCGTAGTTAATACCATTCAAAGAACCGTTCTAGGAGCAATTCGTACCCAAACTACCTGCACTCGTTGTCAAGGTGAAAAACAAATAATTAAAAAAAAATGTCGCCAGTGTGGTGGCAGAAAGTTTATTAGCCAAAAAGAAACCATTGAACTTAATATTCCTCGTGGTATTCAGCCAGAAAAAAAACTACGCTATCAAGGAATAGGAAATGAAGGTTGATACGGTGGAGCGAGAGGTGATATCTACGTGGCGATAAAGGTTAAAGAAAATCCTTATTTTCAGCGGAAAGACGATGATATTCACGTCAATTTGCCAATTTCCTTTTTGGACGCAATTTTGGGCAATAATGTTGAAGTAATTACCTTAGAGGGGGTGGAAAGAATTTCGGTGCCAGCAGGAACCCAAAATGGCGATTATTTAATCTTGCGAGGCCGCGGTTGCCATTTGGGAATTAATAAGGTCGCTCGAGGCAGTTTTTATATTTGATTACAGGTCAAATTACCGAAAAAAATTACCCCAGCCACTGAAGCAATACTTCGTAATATTCAACGAGAAACTAGTTGAAATCCCAATCAAGATTTTATTGAAAAAAATAAGGAAATTGTAGACAAATAATTCATTATTTCGCGACCAAATGACGGGCTATAAAATTACTAGATAGTGAGCTGTCTCCACCTTCAAAAATAAAAAATAAAATTATAAATATACCATTATTATGAATTATTCGACTATCCAATTGGCTCGGGAAAAACTAATCAGGTATGAAAAAGACTATCAAGAATTAGTAAAAAAAATAAATCTTTCCCTTTTTACTTTAGCCAAAACTAACCTTAGCGCAGAAGAAAAAAAAAAAATATGGGACGGATTATCCGAGTATACCAAAAACATTATTAGAAAAGTAGAAGAGGTTTTGGACAAACTAGATGGCGTGCGTTTTTCCGGCAACGAAGTTGTTCTTTATGAGGAAAAGGAAAATCTGGCTCAGAAATACAGATCATTAATAAGAAAATTGCGGGAAGAAAAAGAGACTATTTTGCGACAGGTAGAAAAAAAAATAATGATTGTAACTCCACTGCGGCAAAAGGCTGTCAAAACAGGTTATTGTTATTTTTGTGATATCAGTATTGCTGCTGACTTTCCTTACAAATTAAAGGTCGAAGAACAGAATACTCTTGGAATTGAAATTAGTGAAGGTGCTGCTTTTTGTTCACAAAGTTGTTTATTAGGCTATTGTAAAGAATATAAAAATCGAGAAAAACTTCGTCAAGAGGAGGAAAAAAGAAATAAAGAAAAAATTGAAAAAGATAGAAAAATGGTGACCGAAATTCAAGGACGAATATCCAACTTGACCGAAAGAATAAACAGGTTAGAAAGAAGAGAAAGAGAGTTAAAATTGTCGCCAGATAACGACCAAGTGGAGCGGCCAGAAAATATTGGATTCTTTCGTCGCCTTGGTCAAAGGCTAGGTCTAGCGAAAAAGCCTAATCCCCTTTCTAAACTTGAAAGAGTAAGAAAGATAAAAGGCGAATTAAATATTGAATTAGAAAAAGTCGGAGAAGAATTACAAAAGTCTTTAATAATTCTCTCGCTGGATGAGCAAAAAGAAAAGGAAAGAAAAAACTTAGAAGAAAAAATTCTCTTGGAAAAAGGAAGAATTACCACGAAAGGAGAAAGAGAAGAAAGTTATGATTAAAGAGAATTATTATGATGAAGGAGCGGAAATTAATAAAAAATAAAGTATATAATGGCGCGAAAAGCATTAATTATTAAAGCAAAAAAAATTCCTAAATATCCAACTAGGGAATATCACATTTGTTTAGTCTGTGGACGTACTCGTGGACTGTTTCGTCTTTACAATGACTGGATTTGTCGGATTCATCTTCGTCAGTACGTCTATCAAGGACTTCTGCCAGGATGGCGCAAAGGTTGCTAATACTAAAATAAATTATTATATGGCGTTATCTGACCCAGTAGCTAATATGCTCACAACTATTCGTAATGCCAATATGAGGAATTATCGTACTGTTTCTTTTCCTTATTCTTCTTTTAAATGGCGAATATGCGAAAAATTGCAGGAAAACAATTTTCTTTCAAAATGCTGATTTGATGAGAAGAACAAGGTAATTAAGGCAGAAATTAAGTATTTTAACGAAAATAGTTGTATTCAACAGTTACAAAAGATTTCCAAACCTTCTCAACATATTCACTTAAAAGTTGAAGAGATAAAAAAAAATTGTCGTGGTCATCGGGTCTATTTTATTTCGACTTCGGCTGGATTGTTGACTCATCGCGAAGCCTTAGCCCAAAATCAAGGCGGCAAAGTTATATTTTTTATTAGTTAAATTATGTCAAAGATTGCTAATCGGGTCATTCTAGTACCACAAAAGGTAAAAGTTATTTTAGGAAAGGGGGTAATTTCGGCCGAAGGACCATTAGGTAAAGGCAAAGAATTGCTTATCCCCCCCAATTTAGAAATTATTCAGCAAGAAGAAAAAATAACTACCAAGTCTGCCAATTCTTCTCTAGCCGGTACTTATAATTCTTTGATTTCTAATATGATAAAAGGGGTGTTGGAAGGATACGAAAATGTTGTGGAAGTGAAGGGGGTTGGCTATAAAGTGACTTTCAAAGAGGGAAGATTAGAATTTTCTTTGGGCAAAGCCCACCTTAGTTACGTGCCTATTCCGACTGGATTGGAAGTACAAGTTGCTGGTAATAAAATAACAATCAAAGGAATCGATAAACAAGAAGTTACTAAATTTGCTGCTAATGATATTAGACCATTACGAAAACCGAGCATTTATAAGAAGTCAAAAGGCATTTATTATCTTGGTGAAGAAGAAACTATCAAATTGAAAGCCAGAAAATCTTTAAATAAATAATATATATGACGACATCTATCGATAAAAAAATTCGCCGGAGAATCCGAAAAAAAAGAAGCATCTTAGTTAAGGGTTCAAAACAAAGACCGCGAGTAGTTTTGAGTGAGTCCAGTCGCTATTTGCGAGTCCAGGCTATAGATGACACAGTTGGTCATACTTTGCTCTCCGCTTCAACTGAGAATTTGGCCAAAGCAAATGATAATTTTTCCCGTAAAAACAAAGAATGTGCCAAGCAACTGGGAGAAAATTTTGCTGATAAATTAAAGAAAGGCGGAGTAGAGAAAATCGTTTTTGACCGTAATGCTCGTCCTTATCATGGCAAAATAGAAGTATTTTGCAAGACAATGAGGGAATTAGGAATTAATTTTTAATGGAGAAGAAAGAGGAAAATTATCAAGTTCTTGGAGTAGAAGTAAACAACTCTGAGGAAAAAAAGATAAGTAGTGAAAAAAAAAAAATATTAGTTGAAGAAGAAAAAAAAAATTTGGGTTTCAACCATTCAGGTAGGGAAAGAAGAGATGGAAGAAGACAACAACGTTCTCATATAAAAAGCGAGACGTTAAAAACCAAGAGAGTAGTAAAAGCAACCAAAGGCGGCAGAAGATTTAGTTTTACTAGTTTGGTTTTGATAAAGGATGAAGAAAAAAATGCGGTAGCCTTTGCCAATTCTGGCGGAAAGGAAGTTATTATTGCTTTTCGTAAGTCTTTCAACAAAGCGCAAAAAAAATTAATAACCTATTTCCCTTCTCCTGCTCGCACTATTCCTCGGGATATAGTAGTGAGTTATAAAGCCACCAAGATTTTTTTAAAACCGACCCTGCCCGGCAGTGGTATTAAAGCCAGCGAAACCCTCAGCAGATTGTTTAAATTCTTGGGAATTAAAGATGTAAGTGCTAAAATAATTGGGTCACGACGAAATAAATTAAATGTTATTCGAGCTGCCTTTTTGGCTTTGGATAAATTAACTGGAAAAAAATATGAATATTAATAATTATCTAACTACCATCGTAAAGAAAAAAAAAATTGTTGGCCGTGGCATTGGTTCCGGTCGGGGCAAAACTTGCGGTCGGGGAACTAAAGGACAAAAATCACGTAAAAGTGGTCACACTCGTCCGGGATTTGAGGGTGGACAAACCCAAGTCTATCGGCGTTTCCCTAAACGTGGCTTTAAAACCAGTCCCTTAACTTATCAGGTAATCAATTTATCCAGATTAGAAAAGGATGAAAAAATAGTTTCCGGGCAAGTAGTAGATTTTTCTCAGGAAAAAGTACTTACTAAGATATTAGGAGAAGGCGAATTAACCAAAAATTTAACTATTAAAGCTGCTTCTTTTTCCCAGCAAGCTCAGGAAAAAATTAAAGGAGCTGGTGGTAGTTTTCAAATAATAGAAAAAAAGGAAAAATAACATGGCAAGTAATATCAAAAAAAAAAGAGTTAGTCGCCAATACTATGTCTTCTTTTTTGCTTGTTTAGCTAGTCTGCTAGGATTATTTGTTTACATTTTAGGAGCCAAAAAAATCCACTTTCCTACTGGATGAATGCCACAGCGGCATGATGAAAAAGCCACGGTTGTGAGGAATTTGTTTTTTACTGGCATTAGTATCCATTTACAGGTCAACTTTTTTTTACAATTCTTTTTTGCTTTATTAAATTCGGAAAAGGGGGATCAAGTCAAACTTAAAAAATGAAAATTTTGGATTAGTAGAGTTCTAATTTTCGTTTTTTCATTAGCTTTTGGTTTTTTTGATTACTGAGGCAACGTAAAAGTCAGTTGGGGCAATATTTTGCTCTTATGTTTAATTATTACCGTCATTAATTGTTGCTTGTTAGAATTACTTATTCAATTAATGAACCAGTATGGGATATGTAATGCCTTCAATTTGATACTTTTTACCGAATTTCTTCCTTACAATTGAATTGCCGAAAATTGAAATAATCCCAAGGCCATGCTTTATCTATCTCTAATCACTGTTTTCTTTGTTTGGATAACAAATCTCAAATGAGAGGCGTCAGTTGAGACTAATACTCTCCATAGCCAAGATGGCAAGATATTAAAAAGAAGCAAGTCTAAGTTAGGGTTTCGCTTGAGTTTTGGTTTTATGCCTTTAATTTACTTATCGCAGTTTGTTTCTTATATATATAGCTTTTTCATAATGCGCAAGACTGGAGTGAATTGAGGGGATTTTGACAGCATAAAAGAACATTGAAAGGGAGCAAATGAAAAAAGAAATATGGACAGGGAAAGTTTAGAAAAAGACCCAACTATAATGTCAAATGAAGGTTTTTGGGCTTCTTTTTTTCTCCTTAATGATGCCCGGTATATTTTTGATTGAGAAAAATTAAAAACATGATTTTGGGATAAAAAATGATGGGTGGTTGGTTCCCTTTTTTTTCTCCTTTTCCTTCGTTGATTAGTGGTGTGAATACAAATGCGTAAGGTTCAATGAAAAACTGGCGAAATGAGCAAGGATTTACGAAGCCGAGGCATCTACATAAATTATTTAGCACCTGGTCATTCAACCCGCAGTTTATTAAAAAAAATAATCAATAAGATAGTATTTTTTTGGTATTTCATTATCCTGGTTTTCAACATTATCTTTGACAACCTATTTAAAGGTTTTTCACCTTTTTTATCTTTTTTTAATTGATTTGGTGGCGTTAATATCAGCACTGACCTGGTTCGCCAAATCAGAACTAAGTACAAATACATAAAAACTAATAGATAGCAACAAAAAAAATATATGGAAATAAAAAATCATTCACAAAAAATAATTTTATTATTATTTCCCCTCATTATTAATAAATTTGATTTTCAGCCCGGGGAAAAGGTGCGTTTTTTTGATTTGGGAAATTTGAGAAAAAAAAAATTGAAAGCAAAAAATCTTACTTCATTAGAGGGAGAAGGAATATTGAAATTGACTGACATTAATTACAGTCAAGAAGTAAAAGAGTTCATCGAGAAAAGTCCCGCTTCCAAATTAATTCTAACTAATTATCCCCATAACGAACAGCAATTTAATTCTTTGAGTGCTGAACTAGCCCAATTTGGAAAAAAAATAAACAATATTATCTTGTTGAATATTTCTAATTATGAACTAATACTGAGTGTAAAAGATGAGTATCTAATTTGCCCACTTTGCGAAAAGATATATAAAAAAGAAGAAACAATAAAAGAAAATAATAAATTCATTTGTCCGTGGGATAGCGAATATCAGTTTTCGCTGGAAGATATAAATAATTTCAACGAATATATTATTGAATATCACTTAAAAAATACCAAGTCAGTGATTGAAAAATTTCTAGCCGAAAATAAACTTGCCACCTCCTCTATTATTCAATTAACAGTGCAAAAAAAAGAGGAAATTTTTACTGGCGAAACCCAAAAAAACTTATTAAAAATAATTGAGAATTTGTAAATCAAAATTATATTTTTTTATAAAATGTAATAATTATGCTATGTAGTTATTGCCAAAAAATTATAAAAAATAACCCTGTAAAAATTGGTCGTGGTTCTCTCGTTATAAATAGAGCAACGGGGAAGAAAAATTTTTCTCCTTCTTTTTACCATCAAAGGTGCTATCAACTTGTTTTGGAAGAGAGGAAAAAGCAACAAAAGCGACTTTGAATACTGATTGCTGTCATTCTCGCTGTTTTTACCTTAATCTTTGTTGTTATGGCAATATCAGGGAGTTTTAAATAAAAAAAGAATATAAATGACGAAAATAGAACATATAAAAAAAGCCGGGAAAGTTGTTGGATGCATACTAAAAAAATTAAAGCAGGAAATAAAACCTGGCGTTTCCGGAAAATATTTAGATAAATTAGCACACCAATTAATGGACGAACAAAAAGTTCAGTCATCTAGCCTTAATTACAAAGGTTTTTCAGCCTCTATTTGCGTTTCTCTTAATCATGAACTAACCCATGGCATACCGGACGAACGGGTTTTTCAAGATGGTGATTTAGTTTCTATTGATGTTGCTTGTAGTTGTCAAGGCTATCATGCTGATGCTGCTTTGACTACTATTGTTGGTGAGGGAGATGAAAAAAAAAGAAATTTATTAAATGTAACTAAAAATAGTTTATATTATGTGATTCAAAAAATCATACCTAATAAGACTACTACTCAAGATATCGGCGCTATGTTAGAAAAATACATAAGGACTCGTGGTTATTACCCAATTAAAGAATATGGCGGACATGGTATTGGCGAAAATCTTCACCAAGAACCCTTTATCCCTAATTATAAAACTCTCGATAAAGGAGAAATTATTAAAGAGGGAATGTTTATTTGTATTGAGCCATTGGTTCAGATTGGTGATGCGGAAGTAGATATTTCTACTAACAAGTGAACAGTGTTTTCCAAAAACGGTCATTTAAACGCTCATTTTGAACATACTGTATATATTAGCAAAACAGGTAATAAAATAATAACCAATTATGAAGACGAATAAAGAATTTTTCCCCACTCAAGGTAAAGTAATTGAACTAATAAACAAAAAAGAATTTCGCGTTAAGTGTGACAATGGAAGAATAGTTAAGGCTAATGTGGCCTCTCGTTTTCGCACCAAACAAGGACGCCGAAGAGCCAAAATTGTCGAAGGAGACAGAGTAGTAGTAGAAATAATCATGGCCGAGCCGGAAAAGGGACAGATTGTTTCCCTGGTTGATGAAAATTATTTAAAATAAATATTATGAAGGTTCGTAGTTCGATCAAAATAATGTGCCGTACTTGTCAAGTTATCAAAAGAAAAGGCCATCGTTATGTTTATTGTCAAGTAAATCCGAAGCACAAGCAAAGGCAAGGGTAAAGAATAATTACAAAAAAATATATATATGGTTCGTATCGGTAATAAAGAAATACCTGATAAAAAGAATATTTTAATCGCTCTCACTTATGTTTATGGCATTGGAATGTCCCTAGCTCGTGAGATAATTAATAAGACTAAAATTTTTGGTCAAAAGAAGACTCGTGACTTAACCGAGGGAGAAATCAAGTTAATTAATGAAGAAATTAAGCATTTTTCCACCGAAGGAGAATTAAAAGAAAAGATTCAAAGGAATATCAGCGAACAAATTCGGCTTGGTACCTATCAAGGATTAAGACGTTCTCGCAAACCCAATCCTTTGCCAATTCATGGTCAGAGAACGCGACACAATGCTCGCACAGCCAAAGGTCATAAACGAATAACAGTGGCCAATAAGAAGAAAGCTCCAACAGCTAAATAGTAGATAAATATGGCGATAGCAAAAAAAAATCCCAAAAAAGAAACCAAAACTAAAAAAATAAAAAAAATCCCGGAAGGTCGTGGTACTGTTAGTGGTCATTTTAGTTTTAATAACACTATTCTTAATTTGGCCAAAGAAAATGGTGAAGTCCTAACTCAGGTAAGTCCAGGCAGCATCGGTTTTCGTGGTACCAAAAAATCTACTCCTTATGCGGCACAAAAGACGGCTGAAGAGATAATTAAAAGGGCTTCCGAATACGGAATTTATAATATTAAATTACAAGTCAAAAAAATTGGTGCTGGTCGAGATGCAGTGATTAAGAAAATGCTGGAATCATCCTCCTTAAACGTGGAAGAAATAATTGATAAAACTCCTAATCCTCATGGCGGCTGCCGTCCGCGGAAAAGACCTCGAAAATAAAATATATATGTCATTACTCAATAATTTAGAAATAGAAGAAATAATCACCAAAAATAAACCTCATAGTTCTTCTTTTGTTTTTCGCCATTTGCCTTCAGGCATGGGGGTAACTATCGGCAATTATTTGCGCCGTGTTCTTCTGCAATATATTAGCGGAATAGCCCCATTGGGAGCAACAATTATTGATAATAATGGTCCAGCGAAAAGTGAACTCAGTACTCTAGTGGGAGTAGCAGAAACAACTCCTTATCTAATTATTAACTTGAAAAAAATTATTGTTGAAGAAAAGAAAAAAAAAGAAGGAATTTTTTTCCTAAAATTGAATATCGAGAACAAAGAAAAGAAGGAAAAAATAATTACCGCCGGCGATTTTCAACCAGACAAAGATATCGAAATTAAAAACCCGGAACTTTATTTGGCTACTCTTGCTCCTGCGGCTAGTTTAGAAATAAAATTATATTTTCAAAAAAACTGAGATTATCATGAAGTTGAGGAACAAAAAAAGAATCACTTTTCAGATGAAGAAGATATTATTGCTTTCGATACCGATTATTCGCCAATTAAAGGTGGTCAAGTAAATTTCCAAGTAAATTCAGTAGTGATTAGTCCAACCAAAAAAGAAGAGGAATTGATCCTTACCATAAATACTGACGGTGCTATTAAGCCAAAAAAAGCACTCCAAGAAGCTTTGGAAGTGTCGCAAAACTCATTTAATGAAATTGCTAATCTAATCAATGGTGGAAAAAAAGAAAAAGTGATTTCTGAAACTAACTAATTTTTATGTCCTACATCAATAAACCTGGTAAAACAACTGCTTGGCGCAGTCATGTCCTGAATAATTTAGTGGCTGACACTATTTTGCACGAGAAGGTGGAAACTAGTTTACCAATGGCTCGCAGTCTCACTAAATTATTGGCAAAACTGGTCAAATGAGCCAAGCAAGATAATTTACATTCCCGTCGCATGGCCTTGCGTTATCTAGTCAATAAAAAGAATTCGGGAGTAATGAATAAGCTGTTTACTGAGTTGAAAGATAGATATCAAGAAAGAAAAGGTGGTTATAGTCGGATTATTAAATTGAATTATAGAATGGGTGATAATAATTTGCGAGTAGTTTTTTCTTTGGTTTAGGAAAAATTATAGGCCTAGTTAGCTCAGCGGTAGAGCGTCCGGCTGTTAACCGGTTGGTCGTAGGTTCGATTCCTGCACTAGGCGCCATTTTTTAGAGTTATGCCCCAGTTTAAGATTCAATGTGATTATTCCAGCAAAAAGAAGATGAAATTTTTCAATGAACGAGAGCCAAAAGAATATCACGGATTTTTGGTAGATTACCCAGAGACTATACCTGATGAATATCTCTGTTCTGCCGAAAATAAAAGACAAAAAGCTCTCTGAATTTGAATCATTGATGACCTAGTAAAAGAAGCAGGGATTGATTTTGGTAATCCATATGGGAAAGTAACAGAATACAAGTTTGTCGTAAACCTCGGAGAAGAAAAAACAGCAAAATTTAGCACTAATAATAGAAATTGAATGGTTTTAAAAACTAAGAATTATTTTGAAAATACTATCAAGAAAATTGGCTTTCGGGACAGTAAAAATTATTTCTATGAGTTAAAAAAGGACAGGCAAAAGACAAATAAAGGTCAGAATAACAATTCAACTCAATCAGAAAATAAAACTGACTGAGGAAAAATTGCTATTTTCTGCTTGCCTATCGTAATGTTTGCTCTTTTTTCTTTCTTGCTTATCAAATGAGTAAGTAAAAAAAAAGAATAAAATTAATATAAATATAAATGATAGCAAAAAAAAATTATCAACTTCACGAAAAAGATAGTGGTTCAACTGCTCTCCAATTAATTTCTTTGCAAGAAGAAATCAACCGAGAAAAAATTCATTTAGCAAAAAATAAAAAAGATGTTCCGGTCAAAAGAGCATTATTAAAGAAGATAGCTAAGGAAAAAAAGTTTTTCAAGTATTTAAAGAAGCGCAATCCTGATATTTATGATAAGTTAAAAAAAGAACTAAAATAATATTATAATAAAACTTGCTCGGGTTACTTGTTATCCTTAATCAAAAACAATTTTGTGGAATATCTTTGAAAACTAGACGGAACCAATTTAACCTGTGAGTGAATTCTTACAGTTATTCTTTTAAGAGTTTGATCCTAGCTCAGGATTAACGTTGGTAGTATGCCTAACACATGCAAGTCGAGCGGAAAGTAGTAGCAATATTGCTTTTAGCGGCGAACGGGTGAGTAATACTTATCTAACTTGCCAATTAGTGGGGGATAACCATGGGAAACCATGGCTAATACCGCATTTGTTACTTCGGTAATGAAAGAGAGTCGCAAGATTCTCGCTAATTGATAGGGATAAGTCGTATTAGTTAGTTGGTGGGGTAATGGCCTACCAAGACAGTGATGCGTAGCCAGTCTGAGAGGATGAATGGCCACAAGGGAACTGAGACACGGTC